TGTGTGTGTGTGTGTTTTTAGGCCAATTGTTACACTAAAATATTTGTCTTTACTTATTTACTTACATGATTGATCAGTCTCATTGGCAGAGAACGTATATTTGTCATGTCTTGTCGACACACTTTGAGCAGCTTGAAGAACTGGTGGTCTCAAACTCTGGGTCCTTATACACATGTTTACTGTGATCGGTTCCATTTCCCTCCTCCTCTGGACTGACGGAGTTATTTTGGCTGTATCCAGGCCGACATAATCAGTCACCTCACTACAAGCTGCTTCCTGACCCAACACAGGGAAACAGGAGGCCACAGTTTATTTCCACAACACCCACATTATATTTTATGGAGTTGGGTGTATTTTTCTTGGCTCAGTACTTGTTGGAAAATATTTTTATGGTGATTGTTGTCTTTTTGAATATTCATTGTATATATTGTTCCTTTTTTCCTGTTTGGAGTGATATTCTGGAATTACATTTAAAGGACATTAAAAAACAAAAACAGGACGGACGTAGCAGCAGTCACTCATTTAAACAACTTTTATTAAGTCTTTACAAATAAAGTAACAAATTTCACTGTATTGTAGCGCAAAGCGCAGTTTGTCTTTTGTCATGAAGCTTGAACACTCTATACTTAGTGCAAAACATACCATAGACGACAGCCAATGACTCTCTACGTGGATTGATGTTTTTCTTTCATTCTTTTATTCGTGTGTTTTTAAGCTAATCTATCACTGACAGACAGATCACAGGAGAAACCAAACCAACCACTGCGTCTGGTCAGGTGATGTTAGATGTTAGAACAGCAAAGACATGGCATTAGTGAGAAATAAAAACTAACTTTTTTTGGCAACAACCAGCGGAACGACAGATGTTACATCAATCCACAGGAGAGAGCTACAACAGACAGTACAGGAAGTGTGTTTCTGTGAAGCCTGTTTTTAAAAAAAAGAATGAAAGAAGACTACAGTAGAACGATGACAAAAACTCCAAATATTTCAAACTTTGCAGAGAACATTCACATCCTACTACAACTCTCAACCTGTAACCTCAGAGCAGTCAGGTGGGAGGGGGAGAAAAAAAAAAACGACAGTATACCATCCTACTACAACTCTCAAACTGTAACCTCAGAGCAGTCAGGTGGGATGGGGAGAAAAAAACAATGACAGTAGAAAAGTCACTCCTGTGAAGCAACAGTGAAGCAGGTAAATCCACTCAAGGTTCCTACTGTATCTATGGGATGAATTCACAGAGAGGTGGGTGACGTTGACGACTGATCGACGGGACTCCAGAGCAGGACTGTAAAGTAAAGTGGCTCGATGATTAGTCACAGCTTCAACAAAACGTGTAGTAGTTAAAGAAACGCAAGACTTGGCAGGTATTACCAAGAAAAACAGACAAGAGCAACAAGTTCTTGTACAACTTTTGCAAATAATCTGTTCTGGTAATATACTGAAAGAAAAAAAAACACAGAACAGTATAGAGCTCCAGAGAAAATATAGCATTTGATGGGGATAATGAAAGAAAAAAAAAACAGAACAGTATAGAGCTCCAGATAAAATATAGCATTTGATGGGGATAATGATTTAAAAAAAATAACTTGACATTTCCACATAGCCAAAAAGTGCAGAATATGGGGTCAAATGTCAACTGTTGTCCTCGAACATCACGTATTTATCCACAATACCAGAAATTCAGTTAACCATCACAAAAAGACAAAGACAAAAAAAAAAACCAAACCACAATGACATTGAAACTGAAATGACATGTTTTCAATTCAAAGAGCCAATTAAATAGTTGTTCGTTACTGTCTTAATTTGGTTGAATCATTTATTACTTATTTCACTCAGATAACAGTGGAGACACTTTGGTTAAAAACCGGGGACTAAAGATTTGGCAACGGGTTCTTTTACGTACAGTTTCTGACATAAGTGTGATAACTTTGGTCTGTGGATACGTTTTGGTCGATTAATTACATTAATTAAAGGCAGAAAAAGGTCAAACGACTTCTCTGTAAAAGGTTAATCAAATCACTTCCTCTGTAGGCCACCAGGGGGACGACTGCTGTCTGAGATAAGAGAGGTTTTCAGCAAATTATACTTGGATAAGAAAAAACATTTCTTTTTATAAAACCACTTCCTGGTTTCCTTCTTGGTGACTGTGCTGCACTGGAGCCAGTGCCTCTAAAGTACGGAGTGGTCCAAGCTTCAAATACAATCTTTAACACCTGAACACCCTCGACCCCCGCCCCTCACATTTACATTAAAAACCCTGAAAAAAAAAAATGGCACTGATAAAGAACCACCTCCTCGGGAGCGTGGGTAAAACACAGCACAGAGTCTCTCCTCTGAGGAACAACACTGTTCCAACAGCGCCCTCTTCCAGTCACCAGAGGTTTAGACTCGTCAGCTGACATTGGAGCGCAGGAGGAAAAAAAAAAGGTGCAGATCCAAAGTTTGAATGCAGCGGAGTAATGTAATATGAAACTAGGTTTGATGAACTTTGAACCCTGGTTAATTTCATCATGACATCATTAGAAGTACACACTGCTGATACTGTAGATAATTGTATGAGGTCATGTGACATGACTGGAGCTCAGCGACAGACACAGATATATGCCAGTTTTATTTTAGGACCAGATTGGAGACAACCATTTTGTTTTTGTCAGTGGTTCATGTTGCGTTGCACTTGAAATTATAACTTGGGTATGTTTGGGATTACACAGACGAAAAACTGGATCCATATTTAGTTTTTAAATACTGGGACTTAATTTTACCTATATTTAAAACAGGCGTGTTGGTTCATGTTACATTAATCTTGCAACATTTTTTGAGCACGTTTAGAATTAATTGTTTTTTGGTTGTTTTTTCTCAATTAAATGATTTTTAACCTAGGCCCTGTTAGATGAATCCTAGGCTGCACAACCAGAAAGGCATCTTGTGTTGCATTGTACTTGGAATGCTATTTTGAGCATCTTTCAAGTCTTAACGCACACTGTGTTTAATCAAGTGACTTCTTTTCGTTCAGATGTCCAACGAATATGAAAATTAACCAAGGTTCTCTTCTTACCACCAACCAGCTGTAGCACAGCAGAAAAAAAAACCCAGCAGCTACTATTACTGCAAACTCTGCTCCACTAACAGGGTCCAACCGTCGCCACCATCTGTACAGGGTCGGACCGTCAACGCATGCTGTGCTTACTTTAACTCAAGAAACCCCAAACGTCCTCCTCAAAAAAACAAAACAAAAATCCCAAAACAACAGGAAGAATGCAAGGCACTAGTAAAAACCTCTAACTTTCACCAGAGGCTCTAAAGAGGAGGAATCAAAGACAGAGCAAAAAAAAAAAAAAAAGACAGACTTTTCTTTCAAGTACATTATGATGGACATCATTGGTTTATACATTCACATTCATCTAACACAACCAGGGGATGAAGGGAAGGAGAGGGCTGTTTAAAGTGTCTGATATACGACATAAGTACTGTATTAAGAGAGACAAAATAGCTAGCTTTAAACTTTTTTTTTTAATCTAAATATCAATCCTCCTGATGTTCACTCTGTACGTTTACGATCAGGCTTGGAGTCAGTTTCAACTTTCAATTCAATCGATTGTTAAGCTGGACTGAGGCTGCAGTTGATTAGTTGTTTGTAAGGCATTTGTTTCGGAAGTGTCCTCGACCAATGACGTGAGGACATTTTATTGAAAAGAGTTTTTGTTTTTTTGTAAATGTTCACATTTGGACTCATTTGCAGGAAGCAGTGAATTGAAAGTGAAAGGACCCAGATCGATCGCTCGCTGTGTTTATTAATTATTTCACGCTAACACTAATGTCGTCCAACAACATTTGTCAATAAACAACAAGAATCACAGTGTTTTCACATCGTGCATCGATGTGTGTGTGTGTGTGTGTGTGTGTGTGTGTGTGTGTGTGTGTACAACAGGTCCATCTACAGAACACGTTTCAGTTTAAATATAGTTAACCATTCACAACAACAAATGATAATAGCAGGAACGTACACTGTAAATCATTTCAACACCAACATTGAAACCAAACCTAACTGTGAAACTAAGAACTGAGTTTTTGAGTCTTTGGATGTTTAATCAGCTGCTACATCTACAACACTCTGTGTGTGTGTGTGTGTGTGTTTGTGTGTGTGTGTCAGATCGTAAGCCAAAAACAAAAAAAAATCTCACAATTAACAACAACATTTCATGGAATCATCTGAGGTGGAATTTAAAAAAATAAACACTAACTGTACAGACGTTTCTTGATGTTAGTCTCACGTCAAGGCCACTTTTTTTTTTCCTCATGTTTTCTTCATTTTCTGTTGTTATTGCTGTTAATGGCAACAGGGGGCAGACGGAGGGATGGTGTAATGGCGGTGAGGGGGCGTTTGTTTGGACACAATCGACTGTTAAACTGTTTATTAAGTGCTCTATCAACATGGACAGGAAACAGAGGAGTCTCACCCCTCCTCCATCTCTCTCTCTCTCTCTCTCTCTCTCTCTCTCTCTCTCTGAACAGGAACAACTCACTGTGTGCATTAGTTTGATTTGTTCTCGACATCCTTTGTGCTTTTACAGGCTTAGAAAGAAAAATACCTTCTAGAAATACTGAATTTAAAGAGAAAAAAAAAAACACTTCCTGAAGGGAGAAGACACGCCTCAACCTGCCAACGTTCACATCATCGACACCTTCTTTCTTCTTCACCTCCAGATTCATGCTCCCACTGAAGTGAGCGATGACTGGGTTTAAAGCATCTTAAAGCCCACATACAGAACAGGACACACACACAGTCAGGTGCGTCAGGCCCAGACCCTGTCGGAACCTCTTTGGACTTTAACATTGCACTCACTTGTTCGTCCTTGAGCACTTGGCCCGGCCGTCACAGGCCTTCTTGAGCAGAAATATTAATGCTTGGCTGCGTTCAGGTGTGTGACGGCTTCAAGTCGGCGTCCGGTGTGTTTTTCCTCCAGCCTAAAACAAAATACCTGCTCTGCTCCACACCAGGTCCACTGGGCTTTGATTCAAAGTCAGCCCCTGAGCCGAGCCCTACGTGGTCCTTAGGTTGGGTCCTCCGGGGTTGCTGATGGACTTCTGCAACATGTTGGTCATATGAAAAGCCTGGAATGGACCCTGCCCGGGGATCTGGCCCTGTGGTGTAGGGTAGGGCCCCACGGGCTGCGAGGTGCTGACCAGCAGGGGCCCAGGCTGTGCAGGAGCCTGGTGCAGGTTTGGCAAAGCGTGAGCTGGACCTGACCACTGTGCGCTGTAGGCGGTGGTGGGGGCGTAGTGAATGAACTGGGGCAGCTGGGGCTGAGGCGGGGGGGGGGAGGCTGGAGGGTGGCTGAGGGAGCCCTTGCGGGCGGCCACGGAGGTAGCAGCGGTGGGGTTTGTGGGTAGGTGTGCAGAGCCTCCAATGGTGCTAGGACACAGCTGACTGGGAGCTGAGTACTTCCTGCCCAGACCTGCTGACTGGATGACCTGCAGTGATGAGAACGTGTTACATACAAAAAATCCTCAACTTTAAATCCTTTCATTGACCCTAACCCCATCAGTGACCCCGGTGTTCACGTCTGTACCAACCTCGTAGCTGTGTCCTTGTGCTGGAGTTTGCTGCAGCGGTTTGGCTCCTCTCTTACCCTAAAGAAAATTTGTTTTTTTGTTAATGTTGAAGCAAAATAGAAAGCT